GTTCATATGGTGGAGTCTGGACAACGGAAGGCAGGCTAACGATGAGCTTCGCCGTCAACGGCGCAAAGATGCGGGCCGCGCTTGCCTGCAAAGCACATGTCAAAATCCGAGGCCTAAATCGACGTGCGGTTGCTGACTGTGTCTGTTAGACGCCCGACGACATGATTCACGAAAGACGCTCCGAGCGAGACGGACGACTCATACAAGCTGTTCTCCTAAGTTCCGGAAATATGACCTCCCGCGTGCGGCGCATGCACTACAGGAGGCCATAGCAATGTCTAAATTGTCATCCGCTCTTGACGCATGCACAGTGATAGTGCCGCTCGACTTCACGAGAAAGGGCGGTAGCACCCCATATCTTTATCACCTGCTGAACATCATCGTCGGGAACGATGTATGCGACGAAAGCCCTGATACTGGACTGACGGTTCCTGCAGGCCCATCAACCTGGTCCTTCGAACAGCGTTGTGACCTGTTCCCAGGCAGGATCGTACCATGGTACTCGCGGATCCGGCTCGGTCCAGCAACCACGTCGCGTTAGAAGACCGGGGAACATGTCATGGGAAAGAGAAACCCCAGTCTGTTGGAGGCTGCGCAAAAACCTGGGGTCAGAATGCGCTATGCACCTTGAAGTTCTCGTAGATATCAAGTGATGCGCCACCTGGTGGGTACTTGTCTTTGTCTCGCCTCTTAATCAACCCCACTTGCACTGTGGTACAGAGCACTATCAGCGCGATAATTCGGTCGGTGGCTGCTGATACTGATGCTGTGTCACTGACATGTTTAGGCCAAATGTGGTGATGGAGGCCGAGAGGCATGAAAGTACATCAGGGCCTAGGCGCAAAGGTCAGAAGAGATTGAGGGGCTTGTGTGAAAGGTAAAATTGCGCTGGTCGGCATGTCCCGTGGATGGAAGGTACGAGTCGGCGACGAGACTTCAGGACGCAGGAACACATTCGGCAGATGTGAGTGAAGGGTAGTGTATATGTTCATGAAGGAGTTCATGGGATTTTGTCCTGCAGGGGAGCGTGGGGAGGGCTCCGAGACGTTCCCGGGCCATCTGCCGGGTCCGCAATCGCAATCGTTTGACATGGTCTAGCCGTTTGCGGCTAGCACCAACGCTATCGAACATCTCGACTCCGGGGATGCGGCCGCCCGGCAACTGCCTCTAGCATGAACGCGGGAGTTGGAAATGAGCTAATGGTAAGCATCCGCATGGTCCCTGATATCAATCGCATGAAGGGGATTGTCGGCATTGTGTTTGTTGTTGGTAATGCGGAATTTGCGAGTGGCTTGCCGCCCACATGTCATGAGGTGGGTGGCTCATCGCAGTACCACGAGAAGCTGATCTTGGGTAGTCTCTTCTGAACCAGCAACAAAGAATCTAGGATAAGTTTTGAAAGAGGGCCTTCGATGAGCGCTACTCGATAGTATAGCTCCCTTTCCCCTTAGATCTCGTTCACGGTTTTGTAGCCGGGCAAGAGGTCGAAAAGGCGATATTGTGACAGGCCTTACTTCCGGATTCCCCGTTCATGCTAAAGAATTGCATCTCAGACAAGGTTTCACTCCAGGGACAAAAGCTTGATAGTCGATAGAGCCAGGATTTCTCAAGATCCACCACAAGACTGGTCATCTCTTGGCTGCGGACGAATAGGACTCGCCATTCAGATTTCAGTCGAGGTGTCATGCGCCTTTTGCGTGCGCGGGATTGGACCGCACACCCATTCGTATGTACCGCTATCGCATGCAGCAATTCGCGCTATTCAGTGTCGCTTTTCGGAGATGGACGCATCTCGGTGACCGACGGCGAAAACAATGGCGTGTGGATATGGCCTCTTTCAAATTGGCAAGGTGATACACATCCAGAAGCGTGCGTCTGGACGCTAAGTCTCACAGCCATCCTGGAAGCCACGATTTGCTCTTTCATCTAATTTCCTAACTCGAAAGTGAGGTCACGCGTAATGAATGTGGGACTGCGACACGCCGTTTGGCGGCTGTCAGAAACCGACTTCGCGCGATGATTGAGATCGAGAAAACAGCCACGACAAACGCCCACCGGCTAGAATTCACATCTTCTGCCCGATACATACTACCTCTGCGCCTAGACTGATATATTTGACCTAAGGATTCGGGGCTACTGATTAACAAAGACATCCGACATCATCACCTTTCTAGTGTGCCACGCTTTCCATTTTGACATCTGTCACACAGGATTAGGACTAGCATTCACCATCAGTATCTACCTTCACTTCGGTATAAAGCTCGTGTCTCCAACGCATCAATATCATCACCAGCACTTCACTTCTACCATCTTCACCTCTCTCTTCTACTCTCTATTCAAGATCTCCAACATGTTCAGCACCAACACTCTTCTTCTTGCCCTTGGGCTTGCTGCTTCCTCAGATGCTTTCTTCCGAATGTCTTGCCCGGGACGAACTGTCAGAGAGCGACTTGATCCCATTGTCAACCCTGGAGCCGTTTCTGGCCATGTCCACACGATCTCAGGCGGAGCCGCCTTCAAAGCCTCCATGACCTACGCAGACACCCGAGCTTCAAAGTGCTCGTCATGCACGATCAAGGTAAGACCGTCACCTAGTTTTGGTGCTACATGACTAACGATTGGCAGGAGGACATGTCTAATTATTGGACGCCGCAGCTTTACGTCAAATACAAGGACGGATCCGGCTTTGCTCCTGTCCCGGTCATGGGTGACCCAGACGACACCAACGGCGGCATGACCGTCTACTACCTTCAGCGTCGAGGCACCAATCAGACTGAGAAACTTCACGCTTTCCCGGAGGGCTTCCGCATGGTCGCCGGTGACCCATTTACTCGCAGCTACGACGGCAGTCTTGCCGCCCAGGGCATCTCCTTCAACTGCCTTGGAGCGAACAAACCGGAAACTAACGGTTTCCCCGACTATCCATGCCCAGGTGGACTGCGAGCCCAAGTCTACTTTCCTCAGTGCTGGGACGGCAAAACCCTTGACCCTTCCGACCACAAGAGCCATATGAGCTACCCAGAGGGCAATGTATACAACAGCGGCAACTGCCCAGCCTCGCATCCTGTGCACATGATTTCGATCTTCTTCGAGATCTTCTACGACACTGCCTTGTTCGCGGACCAGTGGGTTGATGGCAAGCACCCCTTTGTCTTCGCTCAAGGAGATGCAACTGGCTTTGGTCTCCACGGCGACTTCTTGAACGGATGGGATGTCAAGGTGCTTCAGAATGCTGTCGACAACTGCAACGACGCCGGAGGTGCAGTGGAAGACTGCCCAGCCGTGACCATGTTCACCGACCGAGAGTGCAACGACTGCAAGATCCCAGTATCGGTCAACGAGAAGACTAGTGGAAAGCTTGCTGCACTCCCCGGCTGCAACCCCGTCACCTATGGCCCGCAACGCGCTACACCAGGAAGTTGCCCAGACAGCACCACACCATCAACAGACGGCGGCTCCACCGATCACGACGACTTGACCGCCATCCAGGGCTGGGAGTACGTTGGTTGTGGCTCCGACAATGTGAGCGACCGCGCGATGAACGGTTCATGGACCTTCAACGACTACATGTCCATTGAGATCTGTGTCGACTACTGCAATGCCCGCGGTTTCACCTACGCAGCACCCGAGAACGGCAACGAATGTTTCTGCAACAACAGCCTCAACCCCAAGTACGCGCCCAAGGCCGGTATCATGGGCTCATGCACCAAGTCTTGTGTGGGCAACGTCAAGCAGATCTGTGGCGGTGCGAATGCGATGAGCATCTATCACAAGTGCTCCGGCGGCACATGCCAGAACAACAATGATGGTGGTGCGGCGCCAGTGCAGAGCAAGGCCTCCGTGGCTGCTAGGTGGATTCCCCTGTCGACCATGGCTACGGTCGCAAAGGCTGCTGCAGCTACTCCGGTGGTTTTGTATGGGTAGACGCGGCATGGATTGCGGACGAACCCTGCGATGTCCAATTAACGGCCTTGATGTCTCCCTTTTAGGGCTATTTCCTCTGTAAATCTGCAAGCGCATCAGATATATGATTGATGAATTCAAAACATTCTTTCTACTTCACTGCTCGCTTGATCAGTTTTGCTGATGCCCGCGCCAGTGACTCACGCCAACTTTCTAACAAGAAATTCTGACGTTCATAGTCAACTGTCGTTTAAATCAGGAGGCGCAACACCATAGCGCGGACGGATGCAAGGTACCCGGCCGGCTAGCTTGATGTGTGGCTCTAGTTTGGTTGTCAATAGCACTAGCGCGCCAGCGCCTTGATCAGAGTGGCTGTGCAACCAGGCTGGGAAGACCCGACATAATGCATATCAGAAGTTAGTCTCGCAATTGCATATCAAGAAGGCAGCTGAAACAATGACCATGAGCACAGAATGAAAATCATGGCTCGGAATAAACCATGTGGAGTAAAAGATGCTGGCACAGAACCTAGTTCGTGAAATTGATGCCATAGTCTTCGTACTTAAGCAACATGCGTCCAGACGCCTGTTAAGGCTTGTTATCCGAGCCAAGTACCTGCTGTTTGTGACAGCCTTCGTGCTCCGAGCTCCGAGATGATCGTATCCCGTCACCATTGTCATGCTGCTTTCCCAGTATCTCCCTCTCAGACGCGCCATCCTCAACATCATAAGGATCAAGCATTCCGTGTTCTTGTAGTTCGAATCCAAAGTCCTGTCGTGTTGCCGATGGTCGAGTGGCTTCGGAACTGCCGACCAAAGAGGGGGCCACGTGCCTGAGGAATAGCCGCAGGGTTAGGAGAGAACCGGTGATGATGATGAGACTGGCTTCGATAAGACTAGTGGATCGTGTTAGTGAGGGATGCAAAGAGCTGATGCTTGACGAAAGCTGCGCACTTACATCCACAGACTAGGATAAACCGTGTCCCAGGAAGCGTCTTTGGAAGTCAACATTGGGGGAAGCAATGCAACGCGCACCGCACTTGTCACGCATGTACTAGATCCTTAGTCAGCGATACTCGCGCGCTTGAACTTGAAGGCTTACATCGAGCCAACGCTGAAGATGCCTATCACCATAATCTTCCGCTCTCTCGACATTTGTAGTCGCAGAACCATGGGTATCGGTAGGATGATGACCATGATATCCGTGATGATGTTCAGCACCCCGGTAGCGATGTATAATGCTGCTTTGTTCAAACATTGCCCTTCTGTGATGGTGACGTCGATATTCTTCGCAAACGGCTTGCATGCTGCAAGTAAAGAGATAACAATACCGACACAAGATCCGACGACAACAAATATGGTGAAGTACACTCCAGCGCGAAAGCCGCGCGCGGGGCTTAAGTTTAGATAGAGACAAAGGAATGACAGCTTTGCGAAGGCGAGAGCTGGCGAGTATAGTACAGTAGTTGTTAGAGTTATCTAGAGTTCTAGAAGTTAGCAAAAACTGCCGCCGAGGTTGCCCACAGGAGACCGACTCTCGCGATAATGTTCAGTTGATGGCCGGTAAGTTCCCAGGCATGTACACCAATGAGACCTGCTGGTGCCCTGTCTATAATGCTGTTATGAATCTCGTTCCATAAGATAAAGGAAGCAGTGGACAGAACTTACAAATAATGAGTAACTGTACAGGTATCGCAAAGACCTGCCAATCAGCTCATGTCAGCTATGAGCTTTCTTCGACAGAAGAATCGTGGACACCTACCCATGCAAGGAGCAGGCAATCTGGTGCAGCCGTTAGCAAAGATGCATCGCGTTCACGGGAATGACTTACAGTCATCAGACGACAATTTCTTGACTAACACAGCTTTGGTGTAGGCTCGAACGGCCAAGAGAAACGTCGAGATGATCGTTCCCACGATTCCAATCCAGAGGATGATGACTTCACCTCGTCGTTGTGGGTTCTCGAGGTCTACCACGTAGTCATCTGGTGCGCGTACGATTGGCTGAGTGAGATCCACCATCTTCCTACGAGCGTGCTTGCTGTGGAAGCGGCCCTCAAATTGGAATGTTTTCAACAGCGCGACGGGGGCATTACGTCGATTTGAGTCTGGCTGTCTCGCAGGATTCAAAACAAGCTGGGTTGGCAGATCCAGCCAAATGGTAATCCGTCTAAGCGAAGCAGGTTGATTGATCCGGACATTTCATGTGCCGCCACTCTGAGCGAGGCTGAGAGCATAATGCAATGCGTCCTGTCTATCCCCTGTAATGGCAATGATGAATCTCGATCTGATTTTATCGATAGCGCAACACTTCCGACTTAGCTTGTAGGCAACGTGTTTACTCTCAGCCTTATCCATCTTATCTGGGTGCACCTGAGATCTCAAGGTTATCTGCATCGAGTACCTACCCAGGTAGACTCTACATGTGTCGAATTACCCTTCATTCCACGAAATGATGTACAGTGGCTTGAATCAGAGCTCCCGCCGTGCCGCACAGCGGAACTGCCGTAGCGTTCCTGCTAGCTGAATCCTGCGGGACAGGGTCGGGAAAGGAGAACATGCGCGAAGGATGCAGGCGAACGGGTTGCGGGTCCATCATCTGCTCAGCCGTGTTCTTACTTGCTGTCATTGGATGAAGAGTTGTGTTGCTTGATAAGACGGCAGAGCCGCAACGGCGTTGATCCTTTCGTGGAGAAGACGCCGCAGCCGTGCTTCCGTTGACTCCAGAAAATGGCTGGGCGTTACTCTGTTGGGATTAGCGCCGGCTTGATTAGTAAATTTCTCCGATGAATGCTCCTCCTTCCCCATTCCCTCATGGTCACGATGCCCAGACTCGCCACAAATTCCACGGCAGACTCAAGATTTGATGTAGTCGAGTTGATGCAGTCGGCACGGAGGCCTCTGCCGGAATGATCTAACGGAGCGTGGAGATCATCTTCGGCTGCTGCCATCCGCGGTCTTGCTGACTCGGTCAATGAGTTTTCACATCTCGGCTGGCATCTGGTCCACCTATGGGATCAGTATCAAAAGGCTGATGACCCGGTATCTTAGAAACTTCTGAGCTGTTTCGTCCTCCTCGTCAAGGACCATTCACCGCCTGTTCTTGCATCATGTTTTATCTGAGCTTGGCCTTGGGCACCGCGACCCTGCTCAGCGTAACGCGCGCCCAAAACGAATCCTACTGTGTAAGCTTCATGTTGCCTTGTGAGGCTGTTCTGACTTTCTTTAGTGCACAGCTCTGACCCAGAGTCTTGTAGCCAAGCGCGTAACCTACCCTGGTCAGAATGCGTACGACGCGAGTATTGCCTCTTACTTCGATGGAAAGAGCAGACTGTCGCCCAACTGTATCGTACAGCCCACAAACGCCGAGGAAGTGGCTACAATTGTCAAGGCTCTTACGACTGCCAGCACGCAGAAGACTTGCAAATTTGCCGTACGATCTGGTGGCCATACTCCGATTCCTGGCGCCAACAACGTCGACGACGGCGTCACAATCGATTTGCTGAACATGAATGGAACCACCTACAATGCTGATTCTGAGGTAGCAAGCATCTTACCAGCGGCGCGATGGGGCTCTGTCTACGCAGCTCTTGAGCCATTAGGACGTATGGTGGCCGGAGGCCGAGGCAGTACCGTCGGCGTTGGTGGCTACCTACTGGGTGGTGGGATATCTCACTACGCACCTCGCGTTGGATTGTCATGTGACAACGTGATCAATTTCCAGGTCGTCCTTGCCGATGGTCGCATCGTAAATGCCAACAAGACTTCTAATGCTGATCTCTTCACCGCTCTCAAAGGGGGTAATAGCAACTTTGGCATCGTAACACGTTACGACATGGAGACATTTGAGAACGAAGACCTCTGGGGAGGTATCGTTTCGTGGCCGGCATCCACCGTCAACCAGCATTTCAAGTCGCTCGTCGACTTTGGTCTCGACCCGAACAGAGATCCAAACGCTGCTCTGATCCTCTTCCAAGGATACTCAACAGCGAGTCCCGTGAACGTCGTAAGAGCTGCGTTTGATTACACCAAACCTGTGGCTCGCCCGGATGCCTACAGCGAGTTTCTCGCCGTCAACAACACCCTCAGCGATTCTACCAAGATCCAGCCAATGAGCGCAATTGCTGCCGAGTTTGGTAGTGACACGACTAAACGGTACGTCTCTGCTGTCTTCGATGTAAGACTATCGCTAATACAAGCAACTAGAGTTCAATTCCGTACCCTCTCATACAAGATTGATTATGAGACTCTTCAGGAGACAGCGCGTCTCTACGACATCATGCTGACGGAGCTTCGAGCCAAGGCCTCTGGACAATGGCGCATCTCATGCTTGCACCAGGTCTTTGCCACAAGCTACACGGCGAACAGCACAGCCAGAGGCGGCAACGTGCTTGGGTTGGAACGCTACACTGAAAATTTCATTATGTATCAGTCATACCTGCTTTGGTCCGAGGCGAAGGATGATGACCTGTTCATTACTCAGGGCAAGATGCTGACCGACGGCATTCAGAAGTTTGCCACAGAGAAAGGCACAGCGGTGGAGTACCTGTACCTCAACTATGCCGATAAGGACCAGGATCCACTTTCGGCTTATGGTGCTGACAAGGTGGCGTTCATGAAGACGGTCGCGAAGAAGTACGATCCGACAGGCGTCTACCAGAGTCAATTGCCGGGCGGGTTCAAGATTTCTCAGGTGTAAAATTAACAAACCTACAACAGCCTACAAACCTCAAATAAATTACCCGATTAGGAAGGTCGCAGAAAGCGTCGATCATAGCAATGTATCTTCTTGCGTTGCACGTCGTGGAGGGCCCGGAGTCCTTGCTGTCGTCGGCGCGAGGTTTGCCACGGATGTCCGCTATGGATCAGTACGTAACTTCACGGGTCGATCGAATCGGCTTCGCTTGCAACTGAAAGCTCGGCAAACGGATCAGTGTGATGGCTTCCTTGGAATCATGTGCAATCTGTTTTATTCCAAAATGAACTTGTGTTGTCTTCACAAATATGTTGATGGTCTATCGAAGGTGGTGGGCCTCGCTGCGTCGGAGTCGTGAGCGGCTGCCCCGCGCAGCTAGCGACGCCAACCTCGTCGCGTCGCGTCGCGACCTACAAACCTCATTTAGCTGCAATGACCTGATCCGCTACATGCTGGCACAACTCAACGGCCGGCTGTTTCTTCAAGATGACGAACACAGGAACCTCAACGCCGAATTGCTTAAGGAACCAGTACCGCAGCTCAACCGCAATGAGCGAGTCAACACCAAGCACGTAGGCTGGCTTGCCTACGTCGAGATTCTCCGCCGGTATCGACAGCGATTTACTCAGCTTTCCAAGTAACGCCGACGTTACAATCTGCGCAGCCTCCTTCGTACCAGCGGCCGCCTTGATGAGAGCGAGATAGTCGACGGTTGCCGCCTCGCCTTCGCCGCCAGCCCCGGTGCCGTTGACCAACTCGACCTGACCCAGACGAAGGAGATTCTTGAACAGCGGCTTACCCACCCAGTGCAAAACGCCATCCTGGAACATCCGATACAGCTTCGAAGGCTTATCATGGATGTTCACCACCTGCGCCGCGCCGCCGGCACAATCGTATCCAGGATCACACAAGACATCCAGAATCGCCATTAGCTGCTTCTGTGTCAGCCCACCCAGCCCAGCGCGCAGACTCTTCGTAACGTCCTCAAAGTTGTCACTCGCCCATCCAGCCTCTAGCACCAAACCGAGATCGAACGAGACGCCATTCAGCCCACTGGCGGCACGGTGCCGCGCGAGCGCATCTTCGAAAGTGTTACCGGCTGCATAGTTGGCTTGCGCGGGGTTGCCGATGATGCCGCTCATGGAGGAGAGGAAGACCATAAAGTCCATATCCTTGGGCAGGAGTTCGTGAAGGTTCCACGAGCCTTGATACTTGGGCGCCAGTGCACGGTGGAACTGCGAGACGGTCATGTTGGAGAGCATGTTGTCCGACAACACCATCGCCGCCTGGATGCAGCCCTTGATCGGCGGCAGCGTTTTGCTAGCTTCCTCGAGGGTGCTCTTGAGGACCGCGCGGTTCGAGATATCCGACGCCGGCGCATGGACTACGACGCCTTGGGCTTCCATCTCTTGGATGAAGGCGATCACATCGGCGCGTCCAGCTACGCCTCGCGACGAGGTAACGAGGAAATGCCGTGCGCCGCGGGACGCCATCCAGCGCATGATCTCGCGCCCCAAACCGCCCAAACCACCGCTAATGACATATGTAGCTTGCTCCTCAAACGCGTACGCCGGCTTCTGCGCGGGCTGATACACCACCACATCTCCCGACATTTCGAAATCGATGACGGCCTTCCCTGCAATCTTACCGCCCTGCAACGCGCGCATCGCTTCCTCAATCTTACTCGGCGCAAACGCATGCAGCGGCTTGGGATTGTGGAGCTCAGGATTCGCCGCGAACAGACTAAAGACGTCGTCGAGCACGAGTTGCATCAGGGGCTTGTTCTCAGCGTACATACCCGCGACGTCCACGGCTGCGAATGTGACATTGCGCAGGAAGTGGCCCATCTCAAGCGTGTTGTTGGCGAGGATATCGGCTTTGCCAATGTCGATGAAGCGACCAAAGGGCGCTGTGCAGCGCCATGAGTGTTGGAGAAGTTCGCCTCCTAGAGAGTTCAGGACGACGTCAACACCGCGGTTGGCTGTGGCATGGAACACATCGTCGACGAAGCTCGCCTCTCTGCTGTGGAAGATGTGGTCGTCCGCGAGGCCATAAAGCTCCCTGACCAGCTGGCGCTTCCACTCGCTTCCAACCGTGACGAACACCTCCGCCCCACGCAGCTGCGCGAGCTGCACAGCAGCCTGTCCCACCGCACCAGCACCGGCGTGAATCAATACACTCTCGCCCTTGCGCAGCCGTCCTACATAGTCGAAAGCATACACAACCGTAGCCCATACAGCAGGAATGGCAGCCGCATCCAAGAACGATATGTCTTCGCGTGGGATCCTACGAGTCGATGCCTCGTCGCAGCGCACGTAGGTTCCAC